AAGGAAATATCCATACCCATAGCCTCAAACAACTAAACTGTTCGATTAAAAAGAACAATCGCAACAAATCCGATTGATTCGGTGTTTCCATTTTATCTGACAGAATTATCGAGATCACTTGGTCGAACCAAATAACGACACACAAGATCAAAATGAGATTTAAGTACCGATTCGGACTTAATTGAATAATTATTATAGTTTAATATAACATTATCTAAATAGCCATTCATGTTATGAAACGATTATAGAATTTAATGAGTCCATAAATAATCAATGGTTATATGGAACATTTCGATCGGAAACTGATCAAGAAAGAAAAGCATGATTATCTAGAGAGTAGGAGGCATCAGAGATGTGCGGTCCACGGGGTTCACCCCGCGGGTCCCGCGGGGCCACGTGGCGACGGGCGGGCGGGGAAGAAAAATTTAATTAAACGCGGGATTAACGGGGCGCGGGTATTTTCCGGCACACGGGCGGGCGGGGCGGGGAATAATTTTTTTAAATGACACGGGTCTCGGGCGGAGCGGGTATGAAATACACGGGTTCGGGCGGATAAACATTTTTTTCGGGTGTGACGAAAGATCGTCAAAACTTATCACGGGATGTCCTTAGTATAAGTATGTAGTACAAAGTACATATTGATTGGTTCATTACTTTCATCCTATTATGTACAAGATTGTCTACCATTTGTTTGTTTCTTTCTTTATCGTCTGTCATACGCAACTTCTACTATCAATTTATATTAAGTGAATAACTGGACTAAAACTTATTTTATATTTAGAATTATCGTTTGAATTTTTTTGCGAATTACTACTTAGGTCTGACCAAAAGTTCTGACAACATTATATAAAAATATAAAGATAAGGAGGTATCTTTAATTTTATTTTATCAAATTTTGAGGACAGTTGCCATGATTATTTATACCAAGTTTGATCCTTTCCAACGATTAGTTAAAAGTTTTTTGAAGTTTTTTCGAAAAAATTTTTAGGTATCATGGATACCGCATGAGCTAATCATATTTCATTTATTGTGAAAAGTTAGCAAAATGTTGTTCGATCATATCAGTTGCATTCTAGTACTGCTAGTGATGAGATATAGATTCATTTTAGATACGTTAGTCATAAGTTATCCGATGCTGGCTGGCTTATTGAAGATGAATCGTCAAACACTATTGTTCATGAATGAAGATTTCAGAAAATGCTTTGTTTGGTATATTCTTTAAATCAAATACTCCTGAATGTAGATAAAGGCAAGACTGTAAGTCACAAGTATTATGCTGAAAACTCTCCAAAACATTTTATTAATGAAATATGGAAACAAACAGAGACATCAGGTTCAAAATGTACAAAATTGCTTAACGGTCATCGTTGACTTCACATTCATCTAATGTTATTAATTGCATGACAGAAGAAGGCATCAATATAATATCATATCTATCATATTCGCCAGGCCTGATACTATGTAACTTTTCGCTAACTAATTCTATTAAATGTAGTTTAACTGATTAAATAAATGAAACATGATAAGTTCGTGCGATATCTAAGATATCTCAATTTTTTTCGAAAAAAACTTTTAACAAATTGTTGGAAAGGCTCGAACTTGGTATAAATAATCATGGCAACTGTCCTCAATATTTGATAAAATAAAACTAAAGATGCCTACTTATCTTTATATTTTTATACAATGTTGCCAGAACTTTTGGTCAGACCTAAATATGATCGAATTACATGATTTATCTCCTGATGAATCACTTGATAGGACAGCTTCGTCGAATACTGATCGTTCATCTACAATTATTTCTTCATCTCTCAGTCATTGCTCAGCGAGTAATATTAAATGTAATTCGTCAAATATAAAAATATTTTTAAAAGAACAACCAGAAAAATACGTGCTTGTCGACAATCACAAAGTGAATCATTCAAAACCATCTCATATAGACTTGAGTTTTGTTTTTGTAAAAAATGATTATTCATAAAAGGAATGCATCATTAAAAATTTCTTCGGGTTACACGGGGACGGGTCGGGGCCCGTCACAAAAATGGCGGGTCGGGCGGGCCGGTCCAAGAAGCTGCCTGTGCGAGGTACGGTCGGAGCGTGTATAGATTTGCCGGGACACAGGCGGGGCGGGGATTCTCAAAAAGAATATCCACGGGGTTCGGACGGGACGGGTTTGTGAATTTTACGGGGCGGACCCCGCGGGGCATGGAAAATCAATGCCCCGCACATCTCTGATACCGACTGTATTTTAAGTTTGAAGTGTTAGTACATTTAGTTATTATTTTCAATTTTGAATTATGATGGATAAAATGATTTAATAACGATACTAATGAAACAAGAGTATTACGAATCATGTGTCAAAAGCAAATAAAACAGTTCAATTATCTTTAAATCTGATATGCTTAAAGTTTGGTTAAATAATTGAAGTAATTTATTATTCATAGACAACTTTCAGTATCAATATATCCCCAGCCAATAGATGACATGTATGAAATGCACCAAGCAATATTTTGACAAGTTAGATGAGCTTCTACCAATGCTTCAAGATTATTCTGATTATTGTCAGCATACAACTCTTCAGTTATTTTTTGTTCAATAACATTTTCAATTCGTTGAACTGTTTGAGGTAAAATATCAATAAGTAGTAGACTATCATTTTGTTTCGATATTGATGCATCCAACTTAAAATGACGTAAACGCGTATTAATCAAAAGATGAAAAGCTGGATCATCATCGGGTGTAACCATTTCACTTGAAAATTTTACAAAAAAATTATTAAGAGGTAATTTTAATGGTTTAATCGATGCCCATCTTGGATTTTCACGATAAGTATAAAGAGATAAACTTAGTCGATGTAATTGAGGAAATAGAGAAAGAATACTATTAAAATCTTCCCATTTACAACAAATACCACTGAGAGACTTTACAGACATTAATGGTTTATAATTTGATTTTGGATCGAATTCCAATCCTCTTAATTGTAACATTGTTAGCATGGAAAATGGTTCGGTGAAAAGCCTATCGAAGAAACTTTCATCGTTCAAAAAATAGATATATTGTATGACAAGACGTTGAAGATAAGGCATTGTTGAAGATTGAATAGCAGTCAAATCCTCTCCTTTCATAGACGACATTTCAAGTGTCCGAAGTTGACAACATTGACTTAAGTCGATATCAGTGTTATTGTAACCAATGTGAAGTGAGTAGAGACGTGGTGCGAAGAACTTAAAAAGTTCCATGTCATCATGATCTTGAGAACTGAAAATATAAATAAAAAACATTATATGTCATAAATAAAGTAATTGATTCTATGAAAATGTTCACTATGAAAATAGTTATATTGACTTAATATTTTCATCAATTAAGTAAAATATATCGATTACTAACAATTCTCGAATTCTTTACTGAATAATTTTTCACATATCTTTTATAACGTAGAATTTAAATGAATTCAATTTGTAATATGAATAATCCTGATCAAGCAATAAAAAAGTCAACATATACTAATTGTTAAGTCTGTTCATCGATATATTTTTCTCTATTAAAATGAATTTTCCAATTAATCAAACATTATTCTATTAAGTACCTAAAAACTTTCACAATTTTATATTTATGGAGAAACACTATTAGTAGACTCGAGTCTAACTACTAAACTAATAGCCTCAATCAATTCGGTTTTGGATCAATCGTGCATAATACACTCAAATCAACTATTGAAGGAAGAAAAACGTTCAAAAATCTATTTAAATTCATAAATTTTGTGATACATATTATCAAATACAAACAACAATTTCCAAGTAAGCAAGACATTCAATCAATTTTTTATCTCAAATCGAAGAATATAAACGAATAAGACAATAGAGTCAATCAAGAATGATCTTAACTTATTCTGAACGATTTAAGCAAATAAATAAAGCCACAAGTTATTTAACAAGAAGCTTGTTATTATCCAAAATAGATAATTAAAAATACTTATAAGCTATATTACTTTTTCACAGAGATACTCGCTTTGATTTTATTATTGGGAAAAATTTTCACCAAAAATAAAGCAGAAAAAAAATTACCTGAAATTCTGATATCTTTCGAACATGGTCAAACATACAAGTAACGTTCATCGTCAAGCGATTCACTTAGCCCTAGACTGATAGAATACATGTACGGAAGGAATAGCATAAAAAGCTACATTAAAAAAGTAATACGCAACATTGATAATATGACCAGTATATCTTAGGCGATCAGAAAACTTAATTTGGAGAATTCTCACTCTAAGTAAAGATGATGCATTTACAAATTTTATTTTTTTTTATCGTTTTTGTTTTATTTTTTTTTTGCTTTTATGAATATAAATAGCGCCTAATAAGATTAGACAACAATACGATTTTTTTATAATTATATTGGCGCTATTTGTACGTACAAAAATATGAATTATATTATTCATAAAATTTGAGTTTTATTAATCAATATTTTATGCTTAAATTCACGCATTAATTCTAAACTATTAATAAATTAGATATTCATTGATACAACATTGCACAATCAATCTTACAATAATGAATAATTTAAACGATTTCTTTAAATCCATACTGCTCATTTGGTCTGACTCTCACTAATTAAATGCTTGTGTAACTAAGCCGTTTTACATCACTACCCAAATTATAGTTATTCCATTGACATTTTACCCATGATTATTATGGGTTCATTTACATCAGTCTTTAGATGGTCATTTGTACCATAGTTACCGGAATAGTTGTTTGTACCATGATTGCTATATGGTCACTTGTGCCATAGTTATGTGGTCGTTTCTACCAAAAAAATGACCGTTTGTGCCATAGTTACATGCTCATTTGTACCATAGTTACCTAGTTAATTTTAGTAAAAAAATGGCCGTTTGTGCCAAAAAAATGGTCACTTGTGCCAAAAAAATGGCCATTTGTGGCACGAAAATGGTCACTTGTGCCAAAAAAGTGGTCGTTTATGCCATAAAAATGGTCACGTGTGCCAAAAAAATGGCCATTTTGACTGCGTTACCGACAGACAGACGGACAGACAGACAGACAGACACAGGTGAATTTCGGTTTCTAGACCCTAGCCTTTCAGTCTTGGGAATAGAAAGAAAATCTTATTTTATTGGCTTTGCGCGCCATTCGAAATATATATTTATTTTTATTTTAACGATCACATAGTTACCATATGGTAACCGTACGTGTTACAGACAGACAGACAGACAGACAGACACAGGCGAATTTCCGTTTCTAGACCCTATACTTTCAGTCTAGGGAATTTTGGATAAATTGATAATTCCATTCAGTCGATGATTCAAGTTCCAAAAGCCATACATTAAGTCTCGTGGAGCCATGTATTCGAATATGTCAATCAATAATTCGTTTGAGAGTGTTTCTAATTTAGAAGCGTTACCTGGAATAATGTTGTCCATCGATTTGTAATTTAGCGTATTTGATGTAGTTCGATAAATAGAATTCAGTAACCGAGTCTTTTTGCTCACAATAAGATCGAATTTACCTAGAAAAGTTGCGTCAGTTTATCGTTATTTTGCTTATAATTTGACATGTATTTAAAGAAACAGAACTGGGAATAATAATATTCACACTGGGATTTACCCAGTGAATTTCTTCTATTCACCCACAAACAAACTCATTTAAGTCACGAACAAATAAATAAAACGAAAAGAATGAAAATTTGCACGTGGTGCTGAAGAAATAATTCGCATGTTCTCCACTATTTAAGCAGATCTTTTATCAAGAGAGTGACAAGCAAAAGTGAGAAAAATATCGTATTTCATTTGGGTTTTTGAGTTTATGCTGTCATTAACTGCTGTTTAATTGAAATGACTGGTGATTTTCAATAGATCTCATGATATCACTGTAGAGGCATTTAAAGTAAACAATATCACTGAAAAATTGATCAATGGTTATTACTATCTATTCTATTCATTCAGTATTGTTTTAACGTTTTTCCTATTTTCTGATGAAAATAAAGTTCAATGAGTCTGGAGGATGCAGTATTGTATGGGTGGTGGAACGCGTTTGAGAGAAGAGAAGATCCACAATCCACGATCGCTGCTTTGTTGCAAGCATTCATGAAAATGATGTGCAACTCAATCATGAAAGGGTGTGAGGTGTCGATGTGGGTTTTAGTCTTCATCTCATTCACACCCAGACCCACACCCACACCCTAAAATTTTGTGTAAGGTAAAAAAGGGTTTAGGCTACGTTGCATTTTCCCAAACCCTTTAAGGGTTTATTATTCTACGCTTTTTTTTTACAGTGTATACTATAGAGGTATCCATTGGTCCTCAAGGGCTATTATATGAAGGTACCCATAGGTCCGCAAGGGCTATAATATGGAGGTATCTGTAGGTCCTCGAGGACTATTATACGGAGGTATCCATAGATCTTCAGGGGCTATTATATGGAGATGGGTGTGGATATAGGTGCTTGTAGGATTTCACAATCCACACGCGCACCCACATCCACATCTATTCACATCCACACTCACACACAGTCAAACTCAAACCCTAGGCTTGACTGGGTTTTATTTGGTTTGGGTTTGATGTGTATCATGTAGAGATTAGATTTTCGGGGATATTTGTAAAATAAGCGAACATCCCCAACTCGAGAGCTGATATTATCAGTAGATAGAGCTCGCTGGATTGACTCCACGAACGCCCAAAACGGTTGAACAATAAAAAAATTTTCCAATGTACACTGATTTTTTTTTAATCAACGAACACCTGTATCATTTGACAGTGAGTAGCCCTACTCGAATTAGGTACATACCCAAAATTCCAGCCTTTTATGTGCTCTCATAAAAAAATACCAGGGATCGACCTTTTTAATTTTAAACCTCATACTTTAATTTCGCTCATACATTCAGAATTCGATTACTAGGTTTAAAATTGAAAAGGTCGATCGCTGCTATTTTCTTTATGTAAGCATATAAAAGGCCGAAATTTTGGGTATGTACCTAACTCGAGTAGGGCTACTCACTGTCAAATGACATGGATATTCGTGGGTATTCGTGGAGTCAACTTGTCGAGCTCTATCTACTGATAATATCAGCTCTCGATTTAAGGGTGTTCGTGGGTGTTGTTCGCTTGTTTTACAAACATCCACGAAAATCTAATCTTTATGTGATATACATCAAACCCAAACCCAGTCATACCTTAGTGAAACCTTATCAAATCCAAACCCAAACATAGTCAAACCCAATAAAACACCGTCAAACCCAGAGTTTGGGTTTGACTGGGTTTGGGTTTGGTGCACCTCAACGCTCATTCACATCCACACCCCACCCCACACCTACACCCACATCCACACCCTTCACATCGACGAACCTCTCGGAAATAGATTTCTTTTGGTTATTCGGATATTTTGCTGCCATATTAAAACTGAAATGAGATTTGTGCGAGATGTGGAATGTTTCTGCGTATGAAGAAGGGAAAAAGCTGTAAATAAGACTATAGCGAACACTGTTCCCTTCAGATTCTCTGTTCTCAACGATGTATACACTATGCAACTGATAAAAAAGGGAGATAAAGATGAGTTACAGCATCTTTTCAAACATTATCTAGCTGGTATTCTTTTCTTCTTTGTTATTTCAGATAAACAAAGACAACTGATAAGTAACGCATTGAGGGTGTGAGTGTGAGTATCGATGTGGATGTGGGTATTTTAGTCATGCTACACCCACACCCACCCTAAACCACTACTAGAATTAATCATTGAAAGCGTCAATAATCAAGTTCATATATCATCTCTCGAGAGTGTGGGTGTGTGAGTGGATGGTGTGGGTGTGAGTGTATATGGGGTGTGGATGGGTAGTGTGAGTGTGGGTGAAGGTGCTTATGAAACTTCAGTCCACACGCGCACCCACATATACACTCATACCCAAACCCACACCCACCCTATTTATCTCTTCTTAAACAATTGTGTGCTGTCGAAGGATGTGGGTGTGGAAGAAATCAATATTCTCACAC